CCCTAAACCTTAAACCCTAAGCCTTGAAAAAAAAAACTAAACCCCTTGGGAGCCTGCAAGCCCCTTATATCCTAACCCTAAAGGGTCCCAGTACCCGTTATTTAAGGGGCGTTGGGGCCTTTTTGGGTTTAGGGTTTAGGGTTTAGGGTTTAGGGTTTAGGGTCCTAAAACCAGAAATAAGGACTACTTGGAACCTTAGGGTAAATCTCCGGGAAGGAGAGCCGAGCTCTGTTGCAATCCACGAAGTGGCATATGCAACGGAGCGGGTTCCGCGGGGGCAGGGAGAGAGTAGGGTTTAGGGTTTAGGGTTTAGGGTTTAGGGTTTAGGGTTTTCTTTCAGTTCTTGCTCTTGTGGCTTTAGGGGGTTAGGGTTCAGAGGGCTTCAGGGTAGTTGGTTGCTGGGGGGGCTTCGGGTTTCAGATGGTGCACAGGTTTGGGGCGCTTGGGGTTCGGTGGCTTAGGCGTTGGTTTCCCTGTGTTTCGCGGTTTTGCTGTATTGCAACTTGCATCATGGCAGTGTAGTCGCTGTTCTTTCGACTAATATAGGGGCCCTAATAATTAGAATAGGGTTTGGGGCCCATTATACTATATATAATTATAATATAGAGCCCCCAAAATAGAATAGGTAGTTATCTAGGCCGCTAGGTTATGCTAGCGCAGTGTGTAGACAGTGTTTCTTGGATGTGGTAATGGCTCTTGCAAGACGTTATTGTGGATTGGCTGCTGTTCGAGGTTTGGGGTTCAGGGTTTCAGGCGTTCAATATAGGAGACTGACTGATGAATCGTGAGTAAGTGGTAATGGTGATCCGAAAGGTTCCTGAATAGGCATCTTACTAGGCCCCTCCTGGTAGGTCTTGAGGTGAACCCTGAACCCTAAATCCTGCGCCCCAAACCCTAAGCCCCAAGCCCTCAGCCTTTGAAGTCTTAAAGCTAACCCTGAAGCCCTCAACCTTAAAGCTCGAACCCTAAAGCCTAAGCCTTAAACCCGGAGGCTGCGGGCGTTGCCGGGGGCCTAAACCCTAAACCCTGACCCTAAACCCTTAAACCCTAAAGTTCCAAAGCCTATAAACCCTACACCCTAAATCCTAATCCCTCAACCCTTAACCCCAACTGCACCTCCAACATCTCGAATTTTCATCGGTTTAGGGTGCAGGGTTTAGGCGGGGTCTAGGGTTCCTTTGAGGGTTCCTTTACGCGTTCCTTTATGTTCTGTAGGGTTCCCGCAGAATTTCTGTGGGGCCCTGGTGACAGCCGGAAGAGGAGAGATTCTGGACTTCCCTTGCTCCCGAGCAATACCAGTCCGTTTGTATCGAAAAGCAGGAGCCGTTTAGCAGTTAAGTAAAAAGAGAGAGAAAATATCTGGGTTGCTTTTGCGAGCCGTTTAGCAATCGATCGCTGGGCTTTTGAACGAACAGCGCGAGCCGGTTAGCAGTGCAAACGCGGTTTCTGCAGCTAGGGGCCCCGCGCGGGTAGGGGACGGGACGAGCCATTTAGCAGTTTCCTGTTGTTGCCTTAATGAGGTCGGTGCATGAAGTGCCTGCAGGGAGCCTGTTTCACGAAAGCACGACGCGCTCACGCCACGTCTCAGACTTCCCTAAAGCAGTACCTCCCTCACCAAAACTCCTCCATACTCACTGTCCCTTATTCCTACCATCCCACGGATCAGGTCTTTCCCATCCTCCCATGCCTCCCTCTCGAGCCCTGGCACCGGACCTGCGTGCTCGCAGCGATCGAGACGGAAATGTAGTGTCCTTTCTGCTTTCGTTTCACTTCTCTGGAGCTACCCCCACAAGAAGAGCTTAAAAAACAAAAGCCCTCGAAGCGTTTCTGCGTCGCCCTTGCCTGCTTAGTCCTGTACTTCGGTCGCACATGGAAGGGAGAGCGCTTTCAATCTTCTGCGGCTCAAGCCTAGCCATCCAGCCGCTGTCATCTTCAGCCTCGCAGTCATGAGACGTGGAGAGCAGAAGTCGTGGAAGGTTGGGCAGCAGATCAAGGACCTGAATTTCGCCGTCAAGAACCTCTTCCAGCAAATTCACCACGCGCCGCAACAGAAGGAGGACGGCATTGCTGGACCTCGGCTTCAAGAACCCTGGCGATCTCCTGAAGCCGACAATGTGGGCGAAGCGACAGGTGACGCAGAAGCACCCGAAGACGCCATCGAAGCCTTGGAGGGTCTTCGCAACGTGACTCCGGAAGGCCGAGGACCAGCCGCCTCCGTGTTCAAGAACGCATTCCAGAAGCACCACATGCGCAGGCACTGCCAGGCGCGGAGGGCCCAAAGATAAGTCAGAAGCTAGACACTGCATGCAGTATCCCGTGCTGTCAGGTCCCGAACACCGCCGATTACCCGAATGTTCCCGTGACGGAAGAAGATACCAAGGCAGCCGTGCTTGCCACTCTGTCCTTCCTGCTAGAGTGGCACGCGAATTGGACTGCGGGAGCTCGTAGCATGTTGCAGGCATCGCTGGCGTGTGGCGCCTCTCGGGGTTTCCGCGCTGCTAGCAAGCCCCTCGCTTCGACCCTCTTTCTTCTCCGTCTCTTTCTTGAAAGATGGCAGTCCAGGACCGGCAGAGCTTAGTGCATCTTGCACTGATTGCGGGACAGCCGCCAAAGCGGTGACTGCCGGGGAGCCTCCATTGTGAACGGCCGCGTTCTCCGTCGCCTGCGTCGCCACATGCCGGAGGACGCATGTCGGGTTGCTATTCTACAAGAGTTCATCACAGCACATAAGCACTCTGACCGCTCCAGGCGCCGGACTTTGTACTTTAGAAGTTCAGTGCCAAAGCAGCCTTTAAAACACAGAGAGGTGGCTGAGGGCCTGGACAAGTGTTTCAACCTGAGCCAGTGCCGACAGCGGCAGCAGGAGGAGGTGCCTGGAGGGCGCCCATTGAACTTCGACTTGGGGCTCCCCAAGGACTTCCTATGGCCACACCCCCTCAAGCCAGGGCGGCGGAAGTGGTGGCGCAGCACGGTGGTCTCGATGGAGAAACTTCCATCCGAGCCCCTGTGCACGCAAGACGCGCCCTGTACCTTAGTAGCTGATGCCAGCCAATGTCCGTCCGAAACAAAGACAGGGCGCGTGCTTTGGGTTTAGGGTTTGAGGGTTTAGGGTTTAGATGCCTCACGGTGGCTGCGGTTTAGTCGGGGTTTCGGTCGTGGTGTGCCCCAGTCTGTGATTCGTTAGAGTTCTTGTATGACCGGGCCCGCTGACAGGAACAACGATTTCCTGTGTGTCGATGTGCGGTACCTTCAAAATCTGTAAGCCCCTAAGCCCTAAACGCTACATCTATTCAGCCGTATAAACCTTTAAACGCAGAGGTCCAGCACCGAAAACGACCGCTGACGAACCCACCCCCGACACCCTGAACCCTCCAACCCTAAACTTCAAGCTTTCGTGTTCCGGTTCTATGTATAGAAGGTTTACAGGGTTTAGGTTTGGGCTTTAGGGTTCGTAGGTTTCATAGGGTTTATGGGTTTGGGGCTTCGTGTTTAGAGCGTCTGGGGTTTTGTGTTACGGTTTTGTGTTTTGTTCTTGGGCTTCTATGGGGTTTAGGATTTGGGCGTGTTTTTTGAGAGCTTGGGGCCCAAGCCCCAAGCGCGAAACCCAAACCCGTGTAGTCTTGAGGTTGTTTCGAGTTGATAGCTCAAAGGAGTCAGGGCTCAGGGTTCAGGGGTTTACGGATTTAGGGTTTCACGGTTTGGGGTTTATGGTTGAGGGTGAGTTCTTAACGCTGGGCCAGGTCATTCACTCGTCTTATGCCGGGGCGCCACTACATGGCGCGGCTGATCAGCAAGGAGCCCGCCGCCTGGGTCCTGCCGCACTTTGGGTTCTGGGGTGTAGTTTTGAGTCTTAAAGGTTCGATCCAATGTAGGGGTCTGAATATCCATTTGGAAAGACGCTCCCCTTGTAATCACCACATTGCATATTGTGATGCCCCAAAACCCTATTCTGGTTCTTCAGACCGATATAGTAACCCCACAACACCCTACATCAACCCGGAAAGGCCCTTCACGGAGCCTATGGCCCTATTTTAAAACACCCTTATCTCTCGGAAACAGTTTCAACAATCCGGCCCTCCTTTGTGCGAGCTTTCAAAGTCCCTCTTTGCGGCATCGAGTCCTCCTATGTTATTCGTCCCAGGCCCAACCCCTAAACCCTAAACCCCTGAACCCTAAACCGTAAACCCTACGCCCTGAACCCTGAACCCTAAACCCTAAACCCTAAATCCTAAACCCCTGAACCCTAAACCCTGAACCCTAAACCCGAGGCCCTGTCGGGCCGAGGCCATGAACGCTGAATCCCTGTATACCCAACATGTTGCATGAGATCTTCGAAGGATCCATATTGCAGTTGTGGCTTAGAGTTTAGGGTTTAGGGAACCCATGGATTGGGGTTTCCCTAAGCTAGGCCCAAACCCCTAAACCCTAAATCCTAAACTAGGGTATAGGGAACCCTTGGACTTGGGTTTACGGTTTAGGTTGCTCCTGTGTCAGTCCCCGGGTTGAGGGATTACTGGTTTGAGGGGTTTTAGGGTTTAGGGGCTTTCGGGGTTTAGGGTTCAGGGGTTTAGGTTTTCGGGGTTTAAGTTTTTGGGTTTAGGCTAGTATTTCAGGCCCTAAACCAAAATTGTTCATGTTTGTATCGTGGCCACGGTTGGGCTCCAAGACAAGACGCTAAACGGCTGAGGGTTCTGAATGGAAGTAGCCCCAAGCCCCAAAACCCTAAACCCCGCCTTAAACCCAAGACGCTAAACCCTGCACTCTCAACCATACCCAACACCCTACAGCCCCAAAGTTGCAAGTGCTGAGCTTTGGAGTCTCGCAGGAAAAGTCGATGTCCATGCAACTCGAGGACGATGGCGAGCCGGAACTTGACCCGAGGGGTTTGGCAGATACCGGTGCGGAGGCATTTTGAGCTGGGGTTTAGGGTTTAGGGTTTAGGGTTTAGGGTTTGGGGTTTTGTGTTTGGGTGTAGGGTTATAGGCTATATGGCTCTGTAGAGAGTTCGCACTTTGCTTGTTGTTCTGCACAGCTTGGGACGTCACTCCCGCGTATTTTGGGGTTTTTGGCCCCTCTGCGACGACATCAGCTTGCTTTGGGTTAAGGGTTCAGGGATTGCCTGAGGGTCATGGGAACTAGCAAGTATGGCTGTAAGTATCCTACTTGGGGTTATCATTACTCACAAGTCTAGTTGCCCGAACAAGAATAAACCTAGCTATAGTTACTAAGCCCTAAACCCTAAACCCTTGACCCTAAACCATAAACCCTAAATGCCCTAATTTGTATAGACCTGGCTATAGTTACTAAGTTCCAGGCCTCTGATCCTTTAAGTCGGCTTTGTAGGACATGTGCCGTGACATGTGCAGAGCCTTAAAGCGTAAGCCAAAAAGTCGGAACGGTCTAGGGTTTAGGGTTTAGGGCGTAAGCCAAAAAGTTGGAGCATCATTCTCATCATGCCCTTAAGGTAGAGTATAGTGGAACCCACCACTAATCATCCCAAATCCGTGTTCCAACTTTCTGGGGTTCGCTATAATATAGGGGCCTTAATAGTTAGAATGGCGTTTTGGGGCCCATAAAACTATAATTGCAATAAGGAACCCCGAAAATAGTTTAGGTAATTATTAGGTCCTCGATGGACTCTTGAATTCGGGTCCTTGGTCTCTTGCATGGCCCGTTTCTGTTCAGGTTAGGGTTTAGGTTTCAGGGTTCAGGGTTTAGGGTTCAGGGTTTAGGGTTTAGGGTTTAGGGTTCAGGGTTTAGGGTTCCTGGTTGAGGGTTTAGAGTTCAGGGTGTAGGGTATAGGGAGATCGACCCGAAACCCTTAACCTCAAACCTCTGAACCATGCATGCAAAATCGCCTTGTGGACACGGACTGTGCACGGCCCTGCTTTCAGCGCTCAATGAATACAGCTGCGAAGTTGTGCTCTTGGAGACTGCCTAGGGGTTTAGGGGTTTAGGGTTTAGGGATGCCTTTGATTTATAATTCACCGTTCATGACGGGGCACCTGCCTTTACAGGTGTACGTGCAAACGGAACCGCATTGGCGCAAGCCCATGTGTAATTTTGGACAGCCGGGTTCGAGTGTCCAACCTAAGAAATAGACCTTACACTGTGGAACCCTTGGCTGTATGTTTAGGGTTTAGGGTTTAGGGTTTAGGGTTTAGGGTTTAGGGTTTAGGGTTAAGGGTTTAGGGTTTAGGGTTTAGGGTTTATGGCTCTAAGGCCTGTCCAGCAGTTGATCCAGTAAGTCGATTTTCAGGTGGGGCCCAAGAGACGCAGCGTGTACACATAAACCCTAAAACCTGAACTCCCTAAACCATACACTACAGCCTCAACCCTAAACCCCAAACCCTATCGCTAGACCAGAATACTCACCAAAACCTTACCCTGATTCTTAAGCTCCGCTACATTGCAGAACCGCATTACCCTAAACCCTAAACCCTAAACCCTAAACCCTAAACCCTTTAAAGAAACCCTGTTCGAAGTCTTAAGGCTCCTCCTGAAGCCTAAACCCTAAAGCCGCAACATCCAAATTCCGAAAATCCCAAACCCTAAACTAAACCTCAACCGACCCTAAAACCCTAAAGCCCTCAAGCCTTCACCCCTACAGCCATGAAGGCCTGAAGCCTAAAGCCCAAAAATCCTAAACCCTAAAGCCCTGAGCCAACCCGCCGAAAACCTGCCCCGTTCTTAACCAATTGCATTGCAGCTGGCGAAGGGCGAAGATTCTCGCCCGGGCGAAGACACGTTGCCCGGCTTGGTTTAGGGTTTAGGGGTTTAGGGGTTTAGGGTTCAGGGTTTAGGGTTGAGGGGTTTAGTAATTAAGGGTTCAGGGGTTCAGGGTTTAGCGGTTAAGCACTTAGTGGGTTTAGGAGTTTACGGTTTAGCGGCTAGGAGTTTAGGGTTTTGGGTTCTTTTGTCCGTTTTATCTTGTTTTGGGTGGTGCATTGGAAACGGTCACTTTGGAGGTTCAGGAAGACTCTAAAATTTGGCTTCCGGTTTCAGGTTTTGTGATTTTTCTTTTCGGGTTTCATCTCTATGTGTTTCTCGGGTTTTGGGTTTGGGGTCTTGGGTTGTTTCCCCAGGGGGAAGGATTGAAAAGCAAGTAGCTCCTGAGATAACTGGCTAATCTTCGTTAAAGCAGTCGGTCATGCGGGTCTCAAACGGGTGGGATCCACCGAAGTTCTTGGAACGACTTAGGGTTTAGGGTTCGGGCTTGAGTTTACACTTTCTGATTCTTGTTTCGAAATGCGGGGTTTACTTGGAGGTTTATCGGTAGTTACAAGTAGGGTTGTAAGTCCCCTGATATGCGTTGTTACGCCTGCAACTATCCAAAAACCTCCAAACAAGGCGCCATGTGGTCCCAGAAGGGTTCCCTTTAACGGGTTCGAAGGGTCCAGCTAAGGGTTTTAGAGGCTCCATGTACCCAGATCGCAAACAAGCTAAACCCCAAACCTAAACCCTAAACCCTAAACCCTAAACCCTAAACACTACACCCTAAACCGTACCCTTAACTCCTTAACGCAACCCCTGTGCAGCTACCGCGCCCCCACCCAATCTGTGCCTAACCCCAAGCCCTACACCCGAGACCCGCCTAAACCCGTAAGCCTTACAAACTCACGCTCCCCCCGAACACGAAACCCAATAAATACCAATACTATTCCCTGAGGGTTCGGAAAAAGAGGAACCCTTTACGGAAACCCGAGTCTCATTATCGAGGCCTCTATATACCAAGCCCCTTATAAGACCCTCAAAGATCCCTTGTACACCCCGTTTGGAAATCCTTAGAAAGAAACTCGAGTTTAATTGTTGAGGCCTCTACCCATAGGCCCCATAGTAGTTCCTTTTTGTGGGCTTATCTTTAGGATCCTATTAGGTAATCCCAAAAAGGAACTACTATGGGGCCTATGGGTAGAGCAGCAGTCTTAGGCTCGGAGATGATCGGGGAGGTCATCAGCTTGCAATGCCACAGGAGCCTTTTTGTCGGGTTCCTTCTCGGGTTCTTCAGTTCAGAGTTCATGTTTCGGGTTCGTTGAGGGTTGCTGGTAGTTCTGACAGGGTTTCGGGGTTTAGGGGTTTAGGGTTTAGGGTTTAGGGTTTGAGGGCTCAACAACCGCCACCGCGGAGCACGAAGCGGCCCGTCCAGGACAGGGGCTCGGTCCCCCAAGGATAAGGCGCGACAAGGATGGGACCCCCCTGAACCCTTCACGATTTGGAGTGGCTTCCCCAAAAAAGGGCCGGTTTCGGAAGGTCGAAGCTCGAGGGCGTTCAGGATTCAATCTGTTTAGGGCAGGGAGGATTTTGAGCTTAGTGCCTTGCTGGTGGGTTCGAGGAGTCAGAGGATTGAGGGTTTAGGGTTTAGGGTTTAGGGTTTCATGGCATGGGGTTCTTGCAGAACACTTTTTCGGGGTCAGGGTTTCAATAGTTTGAGATAATAGTTGCGGGTGCAAAGCCGGGGCCCTAGACATCTTAAAGCTAACCAGACCCATAAACTAACCTTCAACCTTACATCCTACATGTTGGTCCACGTCAGTTGAACATAATTAGGGGCTTTTAGAATGTTGAATAGAGTTTTTGGGGGTACCATTTGATTAGGTACTGCCCCCATTCTGTAACAGTGAGATATCACTTACAATGTAAGTATAACTAACAGGAACCCTGACATCGACTGTTACAGTGTGGGGGCAATACCAAATATACAATGCGCTGACCTCAGCCAGAACACTAAGATCCTAAACCTGTATGAAATCTGGCTCTTCATTGAATTTAATGGCTGCTCCTTCTGAGGAAGTGGTTTCCGAACCGTGGGTTCAGGGATCTGCTAGTAGTCCCCAACTCTAAACCCTAAACCCCTGAACCCCCGAAGCCCAGAAATCAAGTACCGGCCTGAACCCTCGCCCCTGATCCCTGCACCCCTTGGCTTTCGCAGGACGGCTCAGCCCAGCTGCCTTGCTGCAATGTTCGGGGGGGGGGCGGGGGGACGGTTGAGGGTTTAGGGTTTAGGGCGCCAGCGCATTGCGTTTGGAGAAAAAGGTAGCAGCTTCTACATAGAACACAGTTTCACGAAGCGTCCTGTAGCGAAGTAAAGTAGCATTGGTCATTAAACCCCAAGAACTAAGCCCTAAACCCTAAACCCGAGTTCAACGAACTACCCCTGTTTGCCATGGCCAACCCTTTGCATACTTCCCACCACCGGCATACCAGCTCCAGGCGCCCACACAGTGAAGGCTCCTGCCTGCGTGCACCAAGTTGCCCTGGCGCGAGCTGACGCAGTCGTCGATGCGTTGATCGAGACATGGCTCGCAAACTCCAGACGGCGCTGACCGTCTTCAGATTGCTCCCTATGTCTCTGCAGCACACTGGTGGCATGGCAACATCACCTTGAAGACTGCGTAGGGCAACAGCTGCCCACGGAAGGCGTGTGCCGGGTGCCGCCACTGTCTTGAAACCGGCATAGGGACTAAGTAAGTAAAGTTATACAAACCCTATACCCAAACCCCAAACCCTAAAGCCTAAACCCTAAAAGCCCAAACCCTAACACCCTAACACCCTAAAGCCCTAAAGCCCTAAACCTTAAAGTGGGGGTAATAAGTACTTGCAAGTATGGTTCCCTTGGTGATAACCTTGATTACCACCCTTGATCCGCTAAGTAAGGGCCGAGTGCCGAAGATGTCGATAGTATATGAGACGCATTCTCTCTCACACCCCAGGCTAGCTGCTCACGTCTGAGCCCTAAATTCTAAACCCTAGGCCCTAAACTGTGAACCCCAAACCACAGACCCCCAAGCGTGGAGTTTTCTTGCTGTCCGAATCATCCAAGAAAGGGCGGGTAAACGTCGAAGGTATTGTTCAAGGTTTAGGGTTTGGCGCTGTAGAGGCTTAGAGTGTAGAGCTTAGGGTTTAGGG